CACCGGACGCGCCACGACCGGTCTTGCGACACGGACCGCACGATGGGCAGCACGACGGCCTGGTTCGCGCTCACGGAGAGGAGCTGTCCGACGCCGACGCAGTTCTCGACTGCGAGCAGCCGCACCTGCAGGAAGAGTCCGAGAGGGGGTCCGACAAGGGGTCGGGGCAGGCGCCCGTGGGGCTGGGCGAGCTGTCGACTGCGATCAGCCGCACCGGGCCCTGCCCGGCGAATCTCGGGTGAATCTCGGGTGAATCTCGGGTGAATCTCGGGTGAATCTCGGGTGAATCTCGGCGAATCTCGGCGAATCTCAGCGAATCTCGCGCCGAGTCTTGCTCGTCGGCGGAGAGCGCGGCGAAGAGCGGGAGCAGCTCCGTCTTGAGGAGCTCCTCGTCGCCCGCCGCGTGCATCGCCGCCGCGAACGAGCCGAGGTTGGAGGCGGCGGCGCGCCTCACCATGGGCGTGTCGTCGTGGCAGAGCTGCGTGAAGGAGGCGCGGATCTCCGCCTTTGACTCGGCGGGCAGCCGGCCTGGGGAGGCGGGACGGCGGGCGCGGGTCCACGCCGAGGGACGCGGCCGGAGGGCCGCGCCGTGGGATGGGGAGCGCGGGGAGCGGGTGAGGAGCGGAGAGGTCGGCTACGGAGAGAGGAGCGGAGAGAGAGGTGGGTTGTGGAGAGAGGAGAGGAGAGGAGGGGAGGCGCGGCTGCTCGCCGTATGCGGCGGCAAAGAGGCCGCAGGCGGAGATACGGGAGGTGAACCAGTCGTTGGCCTGGAGCCGCAGCACCAGCGGCACCAGGTGCTCGAGCAGGTGCGCCACCGGCACCTGCCGCGACACTTTGTTGAGCGCCTCGACCGACTTGTCGCGCACGAGCGTCTCCTCGACCGTGGCGAGCGTCTCGAGCGGCCCGAGGAGGACGGGGGCGTACTCGAGCCCGCCCACGTACTCGACGAATCCGCCCAGCTCCTCGGCGAGCGCAACGAGCACCTCGTCCTCATCGTCGATTGACTCTGCGCGGGCGGCCGAGGCGCCGCTCAAGAACCCATGCTCGCGCACAATCTCGGCGCGTCGCGGCGTGCGTGGCGTGCGGCGATGGTGCGCGCGCGTCCACGCGCTAGCGGGCCCACCGTTGAGGAAGGGAATCAGCTCGTTTCGCGTGCGCTCCGGCCCGAGTGCGACGGCGATCGTCGAGAGTCTTCGGATCGAGTTGAGGCGCAGCTGAATGTCCTCGTGCTTCAGCTCGTCGATGAGGACCGCGACCGGGTAGAGCGACTGCTCCTATGGGGGTACCCTGTCGTTAGAACTCTTCCATCGCCCTGCCGTTGGGTGGGCGCATGCCGGGTCGGTCATGCTGGGCAAGAGAGGCTGTGAAGAATACCTCCCCCGGTATTTATACCGGTAGGGAGGCGTATGCCGAATACAAAGTGGATCCGCCCTCCCGCCCTCCCGCCCGCAATAAGTGCAGATGTCCTTTTCAGCCTGCCGAGAGCTTCCTAGCCCGCGCGCGCGCTCCGTCTGGCGCGCGGAGCGACTCGGTGGACGTCCGAGCCCGCCGCCCCTCGCCACTGCACCCTGCTGGCCCATGCAGCGCGACACCGCACTTGAAGTAGCCGATCACGTACCCGAGAGATGAGGGCATTTCGGCTGACATTCCGGAAGGCAACAAGCGCCGAGATATTCCGTGGCCTTGCTCTGGCTGGAGATCTTTCCTCTCAGTAGGCGCCGCTTCGGGCTACGTGACGGTATGTGCAGCACACGACACTCATGACCAGTCACATGAACCCTGAGTCTTCAGTAAGCGAGCCGCTGGAGCCCTTCTCATTTGTGGCTCCGTCCTCTCCTCTGCCCGTTTCTCAGCAGGAGCCAAGTGCAAAGTCAGGGCATGCCGCCGTCCTCGCCGTCCTCGCCGTCGTCGCTGTCCTCCTCGAACGCGACGTCGCACCGCTCAGCGTAGATAATCCGCTTGAGCCGCTCCGACGACGCGACGGCCGCCTTGCGCTTCGACCGCGCCGCGGGCTCCGAGGCGTCCATGGCGACGGGCTCGTCGGCGCCGGCTGGCGACGGCGCGGAGCGCTTGCGCGAGGAGCGCTTGCTGCCGCCGCCGCCGCCGCCGCCGCCGCCGCCGCCGCCGACGCCGCCGACGCCGCCGACGCCGCCGACGCCGCCGAGCACCTCGTCGGGCGCGAGCTCGGTGTACGGCGCCTTGGTGAGCTTGCCTGTCTTGCGGCTCCGGCTGCCAGCCAGCTTGCTCGTGCACCGCCGGGTGCCGAGCTCGCTCGCGAGCGCGGCGTGCTGCTCTCCGAACTGGAGGCGGAGGACGTTCGTGTGCGACTCGCCCATCGGGCCCCACGTGAAGACGAGCACGGCGTTCTCCGGCTCGAAGGAGGCGGTCCAGTACTTGTTGTGCCAGTGCCCCTTCCGCTGAGGGTTCTCGAGCTCGCACTTGAAGGCGCGCGACCACGGCACGAGCGGCGCGGACGACGACGACGCCTTGCTCTGCGCGTGCTCCTGCCAGGTGCTGCCCAGCTCGTCCTTCCGCGCGCGGTACGCCGGGCTGGCTAGGAACTCTCGCACGCGCTTGTCGACCTGCGGGGCGACGAAGTGCTCGCCCACGCCGTGCAGCGTCAGCACGCCGAGCGCGTGGCCGCAGGCCTGGCCTTGCGACGGCCCGCCCATGGAGATGCCCGACATGAGGGTGCGCGGGTACGGGTACTCCTGCATCAGCTCCGTGTGGGAGAGCACCTCCGACCGCTTGGCGGTCGACGCGGCATGCATGCACTCCTCGCTCACGAAGACCTCGATGTTGCCCGCCTTCAGGTGCTTCCGCAGGCTTGCGGCGCAGAAGCGCTGCGCGTGGCCCTTCTCATCGAGGACGAAAGCGACCGGGGTGGAGCGGAGCAGGGAGGCGAGAACCTCACATTCGCCGAGGCACTTCCACCCCTTTTTTCGGCCTCCTGCAGGTTGGTCACCATGCGGCGGTAGCCGCCGACGGCGACGTAGCAGGAGGTGCTCTCGCCGCGAGCGAGCGCGGCGATCGCGACGGCGTTGATCTCGGCCGCAACCTGCTGCGCCATCTCCTCTCGCTCCTGCTGCGAGAGGCCGTCCTCCGTCTCGCCCTTGCCTCGCGCGGCGGCCACCGCCGCCGACTTGCGCTGGTTTGAGGCATTGCACTTGCCCGCCTCTGACGGCCGCTTGCCCGCCCGTGACGAGCGCTCCTTGACCCCCTTCTTCTCGAAGAGGTCCCCGTTCTCTGCCGTCCGGACGGGCCCGCCATCGACACGTACTCGCGGATGCTGCCCTGGTCCGTCTTGCCAGCCTCGTGCGCTGCCCACGCCTTGGGCACGGAGTCGAAGCCGACACCGCTTGGCGCGTAGTAGCCGACGCGGCAGTCGCTCTCGACATTCCTGTGCAGGATGGACCAGCCGGCGTCGAGCAGTGCTCGATACTTTTCGCGGTGGCATCGCGGTTCGGCCTCCTTGGGGATCCACTTCTTGTCGCGGGCAGCCTGGAGGGTCGCCGGAATCGGCGACATCGTCGCCCGTACAATCAGCCGAGCTCGCGAGCAGCACGGGCAAACGCAAACTCGACCGAGCGTGTGACGCCTTTAGCGTGGCTGAGCCGATCAAGAATAAAGAAAACGCCCAGCCGCGGCAAAGCTGGAGTTAGAAGTTCCCTCTCCCGCAGCACCCACCTCGCTCGCAGGGCTTTGGTTTTTAAGATGAACACGTCCGTCTAGCAGCTGCAACAACAACACTCTGGCGCGCGCGCGCCGCGGGCGCCACTCTGCACCAAGACTTCAAACACGCGACGCCTCTCCGCCGCGGCGGACGCGTACACGCGCGGTTGCACCCGCCGCATCTGTGCAACGGCGACAGTACCGGGTCGGTCATGCTGGAGCAGAGTATGAAGAAAAACGACCTGCGCAGGCCTCCGCTCGTACGGACTCGACGGAGGCGGCTATATACACGCATATGCTCCGCCGCCCAGCCGCTGCGCTCGCCTCCGGCGCCCTGGCCATCGCCTTTGCCGACCTCGACTTCAAGTCGACCTTCCGCGGCCAGCTCGGACCGCCGCGGCCGACGGCAAAGGCGCTCGAGGCTGGCACGACCGCGACTGGGCGGCTGCTGTCTCAGGAGGGCGCCGTGCTGCAGCGAGGCCCGTTCCACTCGCTGTGGATCCGTGTCGGCGGGTCCGAGGTCAGCACAGCTGCGCTCGAGGATCTGGTCTCGAACGCGCTCGAGGACCAAGCGGCGAGGAAGGTGCCGGGTGCAGTCTACGTCGCGCTGGACGAGCGCAACGTCGCCTCGGAGCACGTGCGCTGCCTGCACCGCTGCGGCTTCCGCTTTCACCACCACCGGACGGAGGCGGCGGCAGAGGCCGAGTTTGTCTACTACCGCTGGCCCGACCGTCCCGACTACCCAGACAAGGTTCCGCCGTACGCGACGGCGACCGAGGGCGTCGGCGCGCTCGTCCTGTCGCCCGACGAGACGCGGGTCCTGCTGGTGTGGGAGTATGGCTGCTGGAAGATGCCGACGGGCGCTGTGGATGCGAGCGAGGGCGTGCTGCAGGCGCTGCGGCGCGAGCTGCGCGAGGAGGTTGGCTGCCGCGTCGACAGCGACTTCTCGCCGCTCTACCTCGGCGGGTGGCAGAATGCGCGCGCCTTCGACGAGCGCGTCAACAACCACTTTTCCGTCTACGCCGTCCGCGCGCAGGCCGAGGCGACTCACATCGACCCGAACGAGGCGCCACGGCCGCCGCCCCTCCGCACCCTCTGCCCCCCTTTGTGCTTTGTTGAAGGCTTTTCCCCTCCGGCCGCCCCGCCCCCGCGCAGATCGGGGCTGCGCGCTGGTTCGACGTCGCGAAGCTCCGAGCGCGCGCGGCCGCCGCAGGCGCGGCGAGTCAGCCCGCGGCGAACCGGATGCTCCTCGACGTAGCGGGGCTCTTCCCGGAGGCGGCGGAGCTGAGCGGCGACGAGCTCGTGACGCAGGTATCGACGACGCTGCTGCATTCGGTCGAGACGCTGCAGAGCGGGCGCGGCCTCGCCTGCGGCGAGACGGACAGAGCCGTGCATATCAAATAGGTGTGCACTTGTGTGGTCGCGTCAAAACTCTCTGGAGCACTTGGGGTGAACCTTCTTTTCTAGACCGGAAGGATTGAGAGCAGCCTCGCTCTCAATCCTAGAAGTCGAAGGATTGTGAGCAGCACTCCTCGCAATCGTAGCATCTCTGTGCGATTGCTAGCACCCACGCTCGCAATCCTACATCTTCTAGGACTAAGAGCAGCTCCGCTCCCAAGGTGACTGGTGACGCCCTACGACTACTACCAGCGCGCTCGCAATCCGAGCAAAGTCTAGGATTGCGAGCAGCACTGCTCGCAATCCTAGCAACATGCCTCCGATTGCGAGCAGTAGCGCTCGCAATCCTACATCTTGTAGGACTATGAGCGGCGACGCTCACAATCGTACCCAAGATCCGGCCAAGCGCCTCCCACCTCGGCTGAAGGGGAACCCAAGAGCGCTCCTGCAGTCCACGTTTGTCCGGCTACATGTACATGTTTCAGCAGGGCATGCTACCGCTCTCACGGTGGGGCTACGGCCGGCGCAACCTCTCCTTTGACAATAGCGTGCTCAGCCGCGCCGGCTTCATCTCGTTCATACAGCAACATGCGCCGAAGGTGAGTTCACTCGCCAGTGCTGCATGTGCCGGCGCTTGGCCGTGCACGCGCACCGGTACCCACATGCACCGCGCAGGTGAACCGCAGCGCAACCTGCCTCGGATGGGACCACCCCATGTACGTACGCAAGCTTGTGCCGAACTGTGACGCGCAGCTCGCCTGGAGCTTCAAGTTCGCAGCGGCGAGCCCGGTACGGCTCCAGCTGGAGAAGCGCATTGTGCGTGCCGACTTGCGCCGAGGCTTCGCTCCCGATGAGCTCCCGCCGGCGCTGCCCAAGTTCAACCTCATCTTGTGCAACCAAGTCTTCGAGCACGTCTCTCGCCCTCGCGAGGCCGCCCTCTCTCTGCACAGCATGCTTGCGCCTGGGGGGCTACTCTTCTGGACAGCGCCATTCGCCGAGATCTACCACCGCGCGCCCGAAGACTTTCTGCGCTACACATGTTCGGGAGCCGCCGAGCTCCTCTCTTCTGTCGGCTTCCACGTCAGCGTGGTGCAAAAGGTTGGCAACACGCAGCTGACCAGTGGCTGGCTGATGGGGTTCGGTGCTGGCGACTTTCGCGCCGAGCTCATTCAAGACAAGCTGGTGAGCAACATCACGGACTCAAAAGCCCTCGACCGCGACCTGCAGGAGAGCCTCTACATCTCTTGTGCTCTCGTGTGCCGCAAGTGAGCGGCAACGAGCTGATTGAGGTCAGGGCTCAGGAAAGAAAACAAACAAACAACCCGAGGGAGGCCTCCTTCCTTTCTTCAGTTAACCGCTGAGTGTGAACGCAGCGCCATAGGAGAAGGTTGGTTCTTCGTTCTGAGAGCTTTGGGTGTCCCCTAGGCCCTAGCGGCGGAACGCCCCCTCTATACTGGTACTCGGAGCTAATAGACCGCTTCAGGACCCATCCGCACGGTCTCCCCACGTGTGTCTTGCGCCGGTTTCTTCCCTCCGACGGGTAGAGCGTCCTGGCCGCCTTCCCCTCCACTCGGATGTCCGTCCTGGTTCGCCCTTCTTCGAAACGTGTCCTCGTGTGTGTTCTGTCATGTTGGGGCCGTGAGAGAGAGATTTTTAGCAATACCAGTGCACACGCCGCCAGCAAAAAAGAAAGAAAGAACACGGACAACCCAAGGGAGGGATGGGAGGACGGCACACGCCGCCACCACACAGCAAACCAAAAGAAGAGTGTTAGAGTTGTTTGGTATTGCTAAAAATCTCTCTCTCTCCACACAGGGATTTTAGAGAGAGATATTTTTAGCAATACCAAACAACACTCTAACACTCACACGTAATTTGGGGCCTGGAGCCCTGTTCACGCGCGCGCGAGACGTGCAGACAGGGTTGCCAGGTGAGAGCGAATGGCGCGGTTCACGCCTCGCACAACAGAGAGAGAGAGATGCGCTCTGCATGGTGGGACATAAAAGAGAGCGAGTACTTGGGCGAGTAGGCCGTGCGGTCAACGCTGCCGCGCGCGACTTTGCGCGCGAGGCGGCGCAGCTTGAGAACGGCGGTGGGCGAGAAGCCGCCGCCGAACGTCTCGTGGAGCAGCAGGTTGAAGTTGTTGCGCTTGACAAAGATCGCGTCGTGGTAGAAACCGCGATGCGCCTTGATGTAGCCGTGGCCGGTCTTGTGGGAGAAGGGTTGGCTGGGCTGCCCGCGCGCCTTGCAGCCCATGTTTAGGCGGCGGGCCTTCTCTTCGGTGTTGCCGAAGGCGTAGGAGTGGCCGACGGAGGCGGGCGTGCCGCCACTCGAGGCGTTGCCAACGCCCGTCGAGGAGGTCTTGAGGAGGGGCGTCCAGAGCTTGATTTCATTTACTTCATCGCATCCTCCCGGTCCCGCGTGGGGTTCTGCGAGGTCAGTCTTGTACCCCTCGTTGTACTGCCGGGTGAGCTCTGGTTTCTCCTTGTCGCCGTGCACGACCGGCGCGTTGGCCGGGGCGCGCATCGCGTCCGCCCAGGCGGCGAGGACGCCGTCGTGGGGCCGCCGGTGGTGGGCCTTTGTTTTGGGATTTTAAGGAGAGGGGTGAGAGAGAGATTTTTAGCAATACCAAACAACTCTAACACTCACACGTCAGTTGTGTTGAGGGGTGTGATGCGCTAGCCGTCACCCACAAAACACAAAACCAATCTCTCTCTCTCTCACCCACCCTTGGCCGCCAGCAAAAAAGAAAGAAGGAAGACAGAACCGAAACGAGGGATAGGGGAGGAGGACAGGGTCCCCACCTGCACGAGCAGGATTTTGGAAGGACGATCAGGCCGCCAGCACGCAGGGATTTCATGCTAAGGGTGAGCACTTGGAGCACTTGGAGCACTTGGACGGGTGCGCGCGTGTAATTTTTTAGCAGCGCTGCGGGCTCGTGGAGCTGCTTTTCCGCGGGAGCGCCATGAATCCCGAGAAGCTCGCGAAGATGGCGGCGCAGGTGCGCACTGGCGGCAAGGGCTCCGTGCGGAGAAAGAAGAAGGCGGTGCACAAGACGACCACGACGGACGACAAGAGGTTGCAGAACACGCTCAAGCGGCTGGGCGTCAACAACATCCCCGCGATTGAGGAGGCGCGCTACGCGCAGTGCACCTACCGCGCACAATCTAGCGCGCTGCCGCTCGCGTGCCCGCGTCCGTGTCAAAATCCGCCGGCTCTTCCTCCAATGCCTTGCCAGCTTCGAGTGCAGTTACGCATCCTCCACAGTCCGCCCAGCCGGGGTAGAGGGGGAGGGGTGGCTGTGCCCCCCGACTGCGCCGCCGCCCGCCCACCGGAGTCGAGGGCGCGGCAAGAGCCCCTTCGTCCCCGCGGGCGCTCCTTGGCCAGATGCCGCGGGCCGGCGGCCTCTCGCGTGCCTGCACCCTCTCGCCCTGTACCCCGCGCGCCACGATGCGCCACGGCCGGACGAAGCACCGCCGGCCCGGCTCGCACCGGCCACACTCGCCGCGCGCCTCCCGTCGCGCCGCTCCCGTCGCGCCGCCCGCCCCACCCCCACCCCGCCCGCTCCGCAGGTGAACCTGTTCAAGGACAACGGCACGGTCGTCCACTTCAACAACCCAAAGGTGCAGGCGTCGATCGCGGCGAACACCTACGTGGTGAGCGGGCAGGCGGAGACGAAGAAGCTGCAGGAGCTGCTGCCCGGCATCATCAACCAGCTCGGCCCCGACAACCTCGCCAACCTCAAGAAGATCGCCGAGTCGTACCAGGCGGGCGGCCCCGGCCAGATTCCGACTGGCGACGCGGAGGACGACGAGGACGTGCCCGACCTGGTCGACAACTTCGAAGAGACGGCGGCCAAGTGAGTCTGCGAGCAGTCCTCGCCACGGCCTTGCGCCCCCCCTACCGTCTCTTCTCCCCCCTTTCTGTTGTCTGTCGCCTGCTACTACACAGCGTGCCGGGACCGGGACGGCGGGCCCCCGCCCCGCCCCCGCTCCTGCCGCCAGTCCATACATGACCCGCCGGTGAGAGAGGGGGCGGGGCGGGCCCGGGCGATGGCCACGTGGCCAGCAAAAGCCAGCGCCGGGGGGGAGAGCCGCGCGGGAGCTGCAGCGGCATTGTGTGGCCTGCAGCGGCTGGCGGTGGCGCTGCGCGAGGTGCGAGCCGTGTCCCTGTGTTTATTCTCCGAGCATGCGTGGTACTCGTACACCGACGGCCCCGAAAGCATACACGCGTACTTTATGCGTAAACAGAAACAGGGTAGGAGTGGCAACATCCGGCTAGCCCAGGTCCTCGCGCCCCGCATTCGCGGGCGCCGCGCTGCCGACTGGGCCGGATCGAGTGCCAGGGAGATGCCCCCCCCCCCCCCCCCCTGTTTCCCCCGCCCTCGTTGTCCTAGCTGTGGATGGCGAGGAGACATCTCTTCGGTGCATCGCGCGGCCCGGCGGAAGCCCCCCCCCCCACCCCACCCCGGGGGCAGCGCTCTGGGCGGTGCTCTGGGCGGCGCACGTTGTGCGGCTTGACGTCCCGGTGCATGATCCCGTTCGAGTGGGAATGCTCCAGCGCCTGCCGCCGCAGGAGGAGGCAGAGCTCAGCACGTGCGAGACGCCTCGTGTGCGGGACGCTGCGTGTGTGCGGGACGCTGCGTGTGTGCGGGACGCTGCGTGTGTGCGGGACGCTGCGTGTGTGCGGGACGCTGCGTGTGTGCATGGGCACGGCAAAGTGCCCGCACGGGCGCGGCCGCGCGGGCTCCTCCACCCTCCGGCGCGCGGCAGGAGCGGCGGCAGGCGGCGCACGCGCCTTGAGCAGCTCGAAGATGTAGAAGCGGACGTCAAAGTCGGTGAGCGTGGGGTAGAGGACCTTGAAGTCCGTGTTGTTGACGTGCTCAAAGATGAGCGACGGCGTCTTGGACTGCGGATCCCGCACGATGTCGAGCAGCTGGATGATGTTGGTCCCGCCGGCGAGGTTCATCAGAATCTTGATCTCGCGCTTGATCTTCTTCTTCTTGACCGGCTTGAGGATTTTGATGATCACTTTGCTGCCGTCGCTCACCCGAATCCCCTCAAACACCTCGGAGTACTTTCCGCGTCCAACCTTGCACACGACCTGGTAGTCGTCCTGCTCGCCCCACTGCACCTGCAGCGACTCGTAGTCCCAGTACTCCTTGGGCCGCTTCAGGTTGACTTCGGCGTGCCAGCGCGCCCTGAGCCGCAGCGGAGGTGGCGTGGGGAGACGTCGCAGGTGTCTGGCGGTCGGCTCTCTGCACTCTGGCGGCGGCCGCGGATTGGGCTAGCACCGCACGGACCGACGGGTCGGCGGCTGCGGCAGACTGGCACAGCGACAAGCGCAGGCTGCACAAGCGCACACCGCGAACAGCACAGCCGCCGCCCGAAGGGCCGTGCGCTGAGAGACTCAGACTGCTGTCGCGTGCTGTTTGGACGCAGTGGTGGTGTGTAGAGTGGGTATGGTGCTGTGTGGGGAGTGGGTGGCGCTGGGCACATTCTCGCAGCGGCGCGGGCGGCGCTGCTGCGTGTTGAAAAGAATTCAATGCCGCCCACACGCATGCACACACGCACCACACACCTCTCCTTAAAATCCCTGTGTGGTGGCGGCGTGCCGTCCTCCCATCCCTCCCTTGGGTTGTCTGTTTTCTTTCTTTCTTTACACAGGTCCCAACAGCGCCTGAACGCATGGCGTTCAGGCGGCACTTCTCTCGCGTCGGCTCCGCCGAGCGCTGCACAGAGACCATCTTCACTGACCACCAACGACAGGTGTGCGACTACGCGCTCGTCTACGCGGAGAAGAAGAACGACGGCGAAGCGCCGTACTCGGTCTCCTTCACCGCGACGCAGAGCGGCGACGTCATCGTACAGCTGCACCCGCACTCGCAGCTCGAGCGCGCCGTGCGCCACGAGCGGCAGGCGCAGGCCACGGAGCCGCCTGCGAGCGCGAGCCCTGCGGCGCCGCCCGCCCCTGCCGCCGCGCCGCCAGCCGCGGAGCCGGCGCCCAAGACGTACGCCGCCGCAGCCGCATCGCAGCCGCAGGGTGCCACCGCGGGTGGCCAGCCCGCCGTGACTGCGGGCCCGGCCGCCGCCGCGCGCGTGCCGCCGCCGCCCAGCGGCGGCGGAGTGCGCGGCTGCTCCTTCACTGTCCCTAACCCGGGCAGGAAGCGTGGGCAGCAGCAGCGCGGCAAGGGCCGCGGTGCCAGGGGCCGTGCCGATGCTGGACCCCGTCTCGTTGACAAGAACGCGCTGTCCGCGCGCGGCAGCGGGCCCTCGCGCCAGTCGCGCTCGCCGTCGCCCGACTCTCCGCCCGCCAAGCGGGCCGCCTCCGCTGACTCGTCCGGCTATGAAACCGATACGCCGGACGAGGTGCAGCAGGAGGCGGTCCGCAGGGTATGCGGCGCGCTCGGCATGAGGGAGCAGTTCGAGGCGGCGATGGCGGCGGGCGAGCTGCTCGAGATGCTCGAGAGCTTGCCGCGAGGGGCGGTCGAGGCCTCTGTCCGACAGATGCGGGGTTACAACCGCACGGGCGAGTGGCCAGAGCCCATTCTCACCAGCCCTGCCCCGCAGCGCGGCCGCTCGCCAAGCCCCGTCGATGAGTGGTCAGATGGTTAGTGCCCGAGAGCGAGGGGTCCGGGGGGGAGCACAAACATAGGACGCCCAGCCTTGCCCTCGTGCCGCCGAGTGCATATCCTATGCGAGAGAGATCCCCTGTGCCCTGTGCCCAGCCCTCTCCGCGCGGCGATGCGCCCTCCCCCCTCGCTTTTGCAAAATCCTGCAAAGGTGGGGACGTGTCTGTCCTCGACCCAGCCCTAGCTTGGGATGTCCGTTGTATTTATTTATTTATTACACAGGTCCCAACTCCCAGAAATCCCGAGGAGCCGTGCAGTGCCTAGAATGTGTGTGCCGTGTGGTGCACGCCCGCCTCCGAGCGGGGTCTGTGCCCGTCGGGTTGCTGCCCTCTAGGAACCCCACCAGGGGTTGTCTGCTCTATTTATTTATTACGGCGCAGATTTAGTATTTCTCCCTAGCCCACCGGCGTCACCGCCTCTCCCTCGACCACAATCGGGGCGGCCGTCACCATCACCGCCGGAGTGGGGGCGACTGCAGCGCTCGCGTTGGGCACCATGACGAGGATCTCTTCCCCAGCCTTGCTCTCGTGCGGGCAGCTGACCATAATCTGCTCACCGCTCGGCCCGATGACGACGAAGGCGTCGCCCGGCCCGACACCCGCCGGCACCGTGACCGCCATTTGCGGCTGGCACACCGGGGGGCAGCGCTCCAGGGCCTTCGCAACATCGTCGAGAATGCGCTCGAGGGCCTGCGTCGCTTGCATGCCAGCGGTGAGTATAAACGCGACCGTGTTGGGCCTGCGCTTGCTCCCACCGAGGTGGGCGAAGGGGACCGCGCCCACGTCGAGCGCCACGCCCGCCGCTCTCCACCCGCTCGGCAGGCAGGAGTCGCACGGCCCTGCTGTGGGGTCGCCGCCAAACGCCCCTGCTGCAGGGCAAAGGTAAGTGTGGTACCCGCCCGCCCGCGCGGTGGACCACTCGCCGTGCGTGATTGACGCCGACGAGGGAAAGGTGAGGCACCCCTTTGCGTTGCACTGCGTCCCGCTGTTCTCGCGGATGCACCTGCGTGTAAGGTGAGGAATTCATGCTCGGCGCGTACGCGTGTGAGTGTCCGACGACGAGCAGGCCTCTTGTCCGTGACGATGTACAGCGTCTTGAGGTGGGTATTGCACTGCCAGTAGGCGAGGACGGCGGTGATTGGCGTGCAGACGCACGCTTGCGGCCAGCAGCATGGGAACAGCCACATCGCGCACGGGCCGAGGAGCACGTGCGCAGACGCCTCGAGAGGGGAGGGGAGAAGGGTGGGGCGAGCGCTGGGAGTGGAGAGTGGGAGGAAGGGAGGGCAGATGCCAATGCCTTTGCCGCCTCGGGTTGGGTCGGCCGGAAGACGCCGAGCACCTGCTCATCCTGACCTCGCACCATCTGCTGTGCTAGCGAGATATCGGCCGCGGTCGGCTGTCCAGCAATGTCGGAGGAACGACCGAGGCGCCCGCCAATCAGCCGCGAATTGGTCTCCATTTCGACGTGGGTGCCTTGAGCTGACTCAGGTCATCTTCATGTCAGGCATGTCGATTCGTCGGGGCACAGTCGGGGTAAACGCCCGGTGGACGCACGACGCACGCCCAGCGGGGAAAATGCTCCCCCCGCGGAGCGGGGGGGCCGGGCCCCCCCGGAGGGGGGGCCCCCGCAGGGGGCCCCCCCGGGGGCCCCCCCGGGCCCCCCGCAGGGGGGCCCCCCCGGGGCCCCCCCGGGCCCCCCGCAGGGGGGCCCCCCCGGGGGGGCCCGGCGGGGCCCCCGGCCCCCGCCGGGCCCCCCCGCCCCCCCGGCGGCCCCGCAGGCCCCCCCCGCCGGGCCCCACCCCCCTCGCCTCCCTCGCGGTGGAGCGTCCGGCCACCATCGCAATCGGTAGACTTAGGTGTATTGTTGGCAGACAAGACTCAGAGCTCACACAGAATCACAGCGGGAGGAAAGCGGCGAGTCGCAATTCCAGGGGTCGTTGTGGCGGGCCACCCTGTCCAGAGAGGCATGGAGATGCAATCTCCTTGTGTGCTTGGCGCGAAGGCCGCGCGCTCTTGTAACCGTCATCTCGATACCAGCGTCGTATCGATACCAGCATGGTTGAGAACGACTTACGCGATTCGCCGGCTTCCTCGCCTCCAAAGTCGGCAACGCAAGCGGCCGGCGAGGGTGGCGAGGGTGGCGGCACGGGCTCCGATTCCGATTCCGAGGATCTTCTCGCGGCTGCTTGTCGCACGCCGCCTCCGCTTGCAATGGCGGTTCCCGGGTGCGGCGCATTACATCTCCGCGGGGTGGGTCTTTGACCGCACTTTCACCCACATGGGCGAGTCGCTCTTCTTGGAGGGCCCGACGGGCGTCACGAGCTACCTCGCTGCTGCAGGCGAGGCCGTCGCGTGGGGCTACGAGACGGCGCGCATCGAGTACGCGATTGCCCGAATCGACTACCTCGACGCCGGCGGCGACCCAGAGCTGGTGGCGGACACGCCGGGCGAGAGTGACGCCCACGTCTTCTACTGGGGCACGCCTTCTGCTGGAGCGTACAACGCCTGCTTCAAGAAGGAGCTCGCAGAGCAGACGCAGGTGCACAACCTCGAGATGCAGAGCCTCCCGGTGCCCGACGGCGGGCTGCTGCACATGTACATGTACATGTCGTACGACGACAACACGGCGATCGCCAAGTCGGTGCAGCTGACCGGCTCGAACCCGAACGTGAAGGTCGGCCTCGCCACCTCAGCTCACACCGGCTTCATCACCAGCGTCGCGCTCAAGTCGAGTGGCACTTGGGAGGCACAGGAGGCGCAGATCGATAAGCTGGTCGAACACCACGGCGAGCCTCGCATCTTCTGCACGGACAACCTGCCCGTCAACTACAGCGCGCTCAAGGCCAAGATGCCGACAACCTGTCCGACCCTGGACTACCGGCACTACTATGCCCGCACAAAGAACACCTTCCGAAGCTATTCTGCCGAATATGGGCGGCTTGCCGCAGAGCTTAACGATGAGTTCCTCGAGACTGTCGGCTCTCACACGTCCTACCCCGCCGGAGAGGCACCGGTCGGCTCGAGGCAGTACTTTGCGGACAAGTGCCTCTCCGGCGACTTTCCCACTGGCACAAAGGTGCGTGCGCGCCTCAGAGCACTTCAGCCGCATTTGGCACTTATCTCTTATGCACCGGGCCTGAATGTTTTGCGTATTAGGTGATGGTGACGCGTGGCTCCGGCGCTACCAAGGCCAAGTACTTCGAGTTTGGCGGCTCGGCCACTAACGGCTCTGTCGCCGAGTACGGCGCGTGCATGCCGCAGAAGACGCTCGACACGATCATGCGCAACGGGTGCTTCGACGCGTCCTTCAAGGACAACCTCCGCAAGGTCTGGCGCCCGATGCCAGAGATCAAGAAGTCGCTCGAGGCTCGGCGCGACGCGCTCAAGTTGCTGACCGAGAGCGTGCAGGCGGCGTACGCGGCGACGCGCGCGCGGAGTGCGCAGCAGGGGGCTGCCTCCGCGGGTACGCACGCGCTGGCGACGGCCTCCCCGCAGCCTGCAGCGCAGCAGCTCCTGATGCCGCCGCCGCCCGCGCCGCAGCCGTAGACCTAGACGCGCGCGAGAGCGCGCGCCGCGCGCGCAAGTACAAAGGACGCGGTGTGCGTGTCGGGCACGGTCATTTTCCTGTCATCTCCCACTTTCATTTTGCACGCGTGCGTGGGAGTGCGCGATTTGGATGTGCGGCGCGAGAGCGCGCCCAGCGCGGCGCCGCGCGCGCAAGTACAAAGGACGCGGTGTATGCGTGTCGGGCACGGTCATTTTCCTGTCATCTCCCACTTTCATTTTGCACGCGTGCGTGGGAGTGCGCGATTTGGATGTGCGCAGAGTGCATGTATGTACAGAAATGTTACAATCCGCTGAGCCGAGACAAACACACACACCTCCTCTCCGTCTGTGCTCTCTCTCCATACATCGCGATTACACCATCGCTCTCGGCGCATTGCCTACTCTCACGCCACCGACCATGTGCGGCCGTGCAGCAGTGGCAGCCAGACAAGCCGCCACCAAGCACTTCACGTGAGGGTGGGGGGGCCGCAACCACCGAGCCCCGCCGCGGCGCGGACGGCGTCGGCGCCACCCACTCTCGTCGGCGCACACGTGCCCAAACGGCTGACGCAGGGCGGACCGCTGGCAGCTCCTCCACCTCTGCTCCTACCCGCGGGCCACGGCGACTCACGCCGCCGCCGAGACAGCGCCGGCGGCGCCGCCACCGGAGCCGTCGCCGTCACCGCTTGGCCGCAAACGGCGCATGTAGCCTTCCATCTCGTCCTCTTCCTCGCCCTCTTCCTCGCCCTCCTCCTCGCCCTCCTCCTCTTGCACGGCGGGCGAGTTGACGGCGGGCGAGTTGTCGGGCCGCAGCCGTCGGTGCCACGGGAGGACGGGTCCGTTGGCCGCCGGGCGGGCCTTGGCCGCGCGCTTTGCCGCACGCTCTGCGGCACAAGGGGAATCAGAGGGTCAGGATGCGTGGGGTACGGGAGCGCCAGCTACTTGCGCAGCGCGCACCGATCTCTCGCTTGTTCACCCCATTGGGCGACCGCTTGCGCGCGGTGCAGGTCGTGAGACGGCGGCAGCGCCTGTGCTGACCGCGGTCGCACCGCTCGCAATACGAGAGATGTGCAGCGAGCCAGCTGGGACCGACCGTCGCATTGGTGCCAGCGGCCAGCCGCCGCTGCCTGCAGTGCTTCCGCCAGTTGTTGGGGTTGTTCGGCGCGCCGCCGCGCAGCCCGCCCTTTTCCCTGCCGCCGACACGACGCTCACTCAGCGCCAATGCTGCGCAATGCCAGGGGGTGGACAGCGCGCGCGCGTGGCGGTGGCGAGAGTTGGGGGTGGCTCCGGGGAGGCTATGGGGCAGTTCTGAGTGGCTGGGGGTGACCCGGACGGCATACCGCGCTGGACGGGTTTAGCCCGGCGGGGGGAGGATCCGCGCCGCAGGCCAGGACCCAAAGAATTTTACAAAAAAAGCAAAAGATCATGCGGGCCAAGATGCAGGCTGAGCTGCGCGAGCAGCTCGACGCGCTGCAGATTTCGATGGAGGCAGAGGCGAGGCGCGCTGATGCCGCAGAGGCGTGACCGGAGAGGTCAAGGCTGCACAACAAGATGGAGGGGATTATGCACACGCGTGAGGGGTTGATAATCGCACTCGCAGAGGCGCAGCGCAAGCGCGAATATAGTGAGTGTTAAGAGATATACGTAGCGTTACAGTTGTACGGTCGTCGACCCTCCCCCACCGTGTGGGCCCCGCCCGGACCCCGGAGAGCTGCAGCGCGTTGGTTCAGACAGCGTTGCGCGAGCATTTGAGAGGCCAGCCTCCGGCTTCTCAGCGTGTTGCGAGTGCTGGATCTCTGTCTGCCTAGTAGCTGGGTGTGATGGGGGGCTCTCTGGTGACTTTGCTTACAAATTTACAGATTTACGGATATTTACGGATCCACCCCCCCCTCCCTCCCCGTCCCGTGACCCGGCTGTGAGACGGTGAGACGCGCATCCGGGAATGAAGTTGGTGCCGGCTGGTCAATTTTTTTCATATATGCTACAGCTCCAGCGACCCAGCCGCACCCCCCTGGAACCAGCCGAAGAGCCAATAAAGGCAACGTACCTCAACTCACAGAAGACAAAAACCACACCAGAGACTCCCCAACCCAAACCCCGATATGAAAATACGCGGGGGCGCGCAGCGGCGTTGTGCGGCGAGAGTCAGAGAGCACGGGCGGAAGGCCATCGGCTCCTCACCGCCCTTTCTGCCAACGTGATCTCTCGGCGCACGCGCGCACCAGCCACGCCCCGCGGCAGACGTCACGCGGTGCCGGTGTGTGTCGCGGCGCTCAGAAGTTCTGCTGGCCGGTGACGAGCTCCTGCGCAGTCATGCCGGCGATGGCGAGCATCGCGAGGCGGCCGTTGTTGAGCTCCTTGTTCTGCATCGCGAGGAGCTCCGCCTCGCCCTTGGGCTTGAGGCCCATCGGGTCGAAGCCCAGGTCGCCCGGCAGGTAGCCCTCGCGGAGGGTGCGCATCGCCACCTGCGTGAGAGGGGGGGGATGGGTCTTGGGAAAGGTCCAGGAATGTGTGTGCGTGGGCCGTTGGGCTTGAACCCGGCGGTGCGGCCATCGGGGGCATCTCGGAGGCATCTCGGCTGACCTCGGGCTCGACCCAGCCGGTGCGAGCGCGCTGGATCTCCGAGAAGAAGATCGCGAGCAGCAGGCAGGAGGAGCCGAGCTGCCCGTTCTCGGTCTGCAGCACCTTGTCGAGGTGGCGGATGACTGGGGCGCTGTCCATGTCGTACATGGGGGCGAAGTGCGACTGGACCAGGAAGCCGAGCGCGCCTGCCCGCACGCATTTCGTGGCGTCAGATCGGGTGAGTGCTGGTGCAATGGGCGCAGAGGTTGATGCGTGTGGGCTCTGGCCCGCACGCATTTCGTGGCGTCAGATCGGGTGAGTGCTGGTGCAATGGGCGCAGAGGTTGATGCGTGTGGGCTCTGGAGGCATGAGGGTGCTGGTGAAGAGAGGATGGCTGTGTCGAAGGCGTCGCACCCATCATCGCGACGCGGCCGTGCGCGAGCTCGGCCTCGCGGAAGAGGAGGAGCTCCTCCTTCGTCTCGGGCGTGAGGCCAAGCGGGTCTGCGGCGGAGGCAGGAGATTCAGCCAGGGCGGGATGGGTGGGCGTGGCGCGTGAGAGGAGGCGCTCGAGGCTCGCGCGGCGCTGGGCGGTGAGTTTATGGGGCACCGAAGAGGCCGAAGGGCGCGGTAACGCCCGGCATGGTCTTGGCATAGGCGACGCCGCCAGGAGTCAGGCCGGGGGCGAGCGAGAGCGGGAGGGAGGCGAAGGACAGCGACATGGTTCTGTTGGAACGATGTGAAACTACTCGTATTTCCGTGTCACGGCTGTGCCACTTCGAAGACACTTCAGAGAGTGCAGGCTTGACCCCAGTTGGGCCACGGTGACTAGGTGTGAATGGGGGAGTTCGGTATTCACAGTCGTTTACACTGAGGGAGCAATGGCTATTATTATTCGGGTTGCTTTGCCGTCATCATTCAGGGCGGCGTCCTACCATGGCGGCTCAAGTCAATTATTAATATTGCTGGTGTCCGCCGTGCGAGGCGCCGTTCCACTTCGGCGCCGCCGGTCTGGCGCGGTTTCCTATTTGCAATTATTGCACGCCGCGCCGCCGTTGGGCGAACTTATCGGCAGCAACTTATTGGCGCTGTTTTCGCGATGTCTCTCTTAGCTCTGGGTCGCAATGGGCGATCCCAGGCGGGAGCAGAGGCCAGTGGCCTCGATTCTCTGATGGGCTGGGCCTACACTACGATCGAGTTCACGTTATTCCTCTGGTCGATCGCCGTGGGCCTCGCTTATGACGGTCTTGCAGCCCTTCTCACTAGCCGGGTCTACCGTGCCGGGGCTGGTGGTGTCGTAGTGTCCGTGTCCACTAGGAAGCTCCGAGTAGAGGGGGCGTTCTGCAGTTAAGGGGAAACCCGGTACACGGAGCCCTCTCGGAGAACCGTGTTTACTTTACGGCCCTTTCCCTGCGAACGCGCACCCTCCAGGGCTAGGGCTCTCTAGCCCGTAACCCGATCCCGATAATCTGGCTCGCTGGGTGCGCTTCTTAGCTCCCCGGCCCTGGATGTGAGGCTGCCGACTGCACTCCAAGTGCTCCAAGTGCTAGGCGCTGCGCGGCTCCTCAGGATTTCTGGCGGGGTTATATAAGACGACGGAGCAGTGTGTGTGTGTGGGGGGGGGGGTGAGTGTGTGTGCTTTCACACGCACGCGCGCACGCACGCACGCACGCACGCGCGGCGCGCGCGTGCGTGTGCGCGAGCGCGCGGGCGCTGCGCGAGCCGCCTTGCCGCGGCACTACTAGACGTGCGCCGCTGGTTGGGCTCGGCGGCCGCTTCTAGGGCTCGTCGGAGTCGCTGCCCTCGTAGAGCGAGGCTTCGTTGGACTCGAGGCGGCCGCCCTCGCGGGGGGAGCGGGCTAGTCCGCATGCGGCGTTCGCCCAGCTCTTCTTCTTGTCTTTGCCACCGCCGCCGCCGCCGCCGCCCGGCACGCGGCTCGAGTCGTGCCGGATAGCCTTTGGGATGCCGTCGTAGACGGTGCCCTTCGCTTGAGGACGGTGTCGAGGAGCGCCTCGAAGTTGACGCGGGGCGCGAAGCGGCATCGGGCCGAAACGAGAATTCTTTTTTGGTGTACCTGTGTTAGTGCCAGTGCGCGCCAGCCCCGTGCCCAGTGTCGTGCGAGGGAGTTTTGTTCTAAAATTCTTTTTGAGCTAGACTTCGTTGTTAATATGAACAAGCGTAGGCACACACAACATGACGCCAAACACACAACAACTCTCTCTCCCAAACACACGATTGCACGCACCGCACCGCACCCCGCACCCGCGCCCGCCGCCCCCCAAACAAAAACAACAAGGCCCCAAATGACGTGTGAGTGTTAGAGTTGTTTGGTATTGCTAAAAATCTCTCTCTCCGCCCCCCCGGCGGCCCCCGCCCCGCCTACCTAGGTGGGAAAGAGATGAGGAGATGGGATAGCGAAGGAGGAGCACAAACACGTATGGGCGTGCATCGGGCCCGGGGCGGAAGGAGCGCGGGCCCGAATTCTTGCGCTGGCACGGCCCGAAGAATTCTTTTTTGGTCATCAGAGCGACAGAGACTTCCAAAGGCATCAGCGCCGAGCATCCCCCTATGTCGACGGGCCCAAGGTCAGTGGCATCCACAGTTACCGCGCCTGGCCCTAGTGCTGCCCCTTCCGCCCCCCTCAAGCTGATCCGGACCAGCGCCTTCTGTTTTGTGTCGGCCGAGGAGCTCGAGCTCCTGCTGTCCCGACTTGAGGCACGCACCACCGCCCGGCGCGCACACGGCCGTGCCGCCGCGTCTCACACCCCCCTCCCCCCGGCGCCTCGGCCACAGCAGCGGAACGGCATCGTCGAGCCTCGAGCCTCAAAGCTCGAGCGCGACTTTGCGCCGGGAGACGTGCCTGTGGCGGACACACCGAGGGAGAGGTCCCCCGAGGGCTCCCCGCCCGCCCTGCGCGCGGTTGCGCGATGCGACGCGCTAGCCGCCTTCCACCGCAGCTGTGCCGCCGGACAGGCTCCGGGGTCGCAAAGTGTCGACCTGTAGAGGGCGTCGCGCGCACTCCGCACTAGTGCGCCTCGCAGCGTCATGAGGGACATGTCTACCCGCTCGCGTCTGGCCGTCTTGGTGTGAGTCTTGGCGGCGGCGTGTACCGAAATCGATTACATGTGCACGAAACAGATACCCCCGGTCACTTTCCGCGCGGACATCGCTGCGCCGAAAACGCACGGTAACACCACACAGGGCGGGGGGTGTGGAAGCAGTGTGAGTGTGTGTGCGCTCTAACTCCTCTCACTCACCTCTCAACTGTTGCCGCCACTGCGGCGTTGCCTCCCGGCGCCGCCGAATGGCAGGTCCATCGAGCGCTCCTGCCTCAGGCGCGCCGAGAGGTCGGGTCGGCCATGCGCGTCGCACAGGCGGGTCGCCGCGAGGAGGCCGCGCGAGTCGAGCCGGAGGCCCTGCGCCCGCATCTGCGAGTAGAGGGCGAGCGCGCGCTGCAGGCTGTTTGGCAGCTCGCGGTGCTGCTCGCACGCCCGGAGGGCGAGCGAGTAGTGCACCGTCGAGGGCGTGAGCCCCGACGCGCGGAGCTCCTCGAGCAGCTGCAGCGTCCGCGACGCGTTGCCCGCGCGCCGCTGCACCGCCATCAGGTGGGCGTACGAGTGGGGCGTGGGCGGCGTGTAGGTCGAGTAGTGGTTGGTGCGCTGCTGCATCTCGACCCAGATGCGCTCGGCGCGCACGTGGTCGCCCGCGACGGCGCAGGCCTTGAGCAAGCACGTGTACGAGATGGCGTCGGGGCCGATCCCCGCCGCTACCATTTCGCCGAACGCGCCCTCGGCGCGAGGCACGTCTCCCTCCCGCGCGCAAGCGTGCACGAGCGCGTTGAAGGCGGCGCGGTCGGGCGAGACGCCCGAGGCGCGCATCTCTCCGAAGACGGCGAAGACGGCCCGCAGCTCGTCCGACGGCGGCCCGACGCCCCCTCCTTCGACCAGAAAGGGCTGCGGGGCTGCCGCGAGGGACTCGGCGAGGCGCGCCGGCGGTGAGGGCGCGCCGGCCGCCGAGCGGTGCGCCGCGCCGCCGTCGCTCGCGACGAGGCCAGAGACGGCGCGCCGCACCGCTCCGGGCAGAGGCGCCGCCGGCGCGGCGTCGAGGCCGGCGTCGCTCCCCTCGGCCCCCTCACGCTGGAGGAACTCCTCGAGGGCAGCGCGCTTGCGCAGCAGCTCCACCGCGGCGTCGAGCGCTCCGCCGCCGCCGCCGCCCTCCCCCGGCGCGGCGGCGGCCTGCGGCGGGCGGGAGGCCGCAGCGGCGAGCTGGCGGAGCAGCAGCGCAAAGGCGGCTCCACTCTTGGTCGCGCCGCCCCGCTCCGTGTGCGGCGTGGCGGTGAGGCGGCGGCGCGAGGCGGCGGCGTGGAGGAGGGTGGTGAAGGAGTGGGCGGAGGGCGCAATGCCGGCGGAGGTCATGTACGAGAGCACTTCCCGCGCGAGCAGCACCTCGCCGTGCTGCAGGCAGCCTGCGCGCGCGCCGGAGCCGCGGTGAGATGAGGGGCGGCGGTGAGAGGAGAGTCGGGCTGTGCCGAGCCGTGCCATGCCGTGCCTTTAAGGGGACGG